AGCCATGGTCGCGTAGTTCCGCCGGCTCATGAGCGCAAGCCGCCGGGTTGCTCAAACCGAGCCGGCAGCAGGCGGCCGCGCACACCGAGCAAACCGCGCACAACTGGCAGGCGCTCTGTGATTGACGCGTGATTTCGGACCTAGGTTGTTGCCATCTTGGCGCCCTCGGGCGCCCTCACCGGGCCGATAAGAATCGGCCTGCCAGTGGAAAGGCCCGGCACTCGACCCCGCCGCCGGCCGTAGCGCGTGACGACGAGTAGCCCAATCCCGCGAACGCGGCGAGGCCGCTCCTTACCCGACCCGTCGCGCGTGGGAAAAGGACCGGAGGGATAAGACTCGGTGGAAGTCCGTGCAGTGATGGCGACCGCGCGCGCGTGCAGTGGCCGCGGTGTGCTCGAATCGATCTGTGATGCACATCTCGACCTTGGCGGTCGCGTTCTTGCGTCCGATCTGGTCCATGGACCCGTCCGACCTGCCTGGAGGCCCCAACACTAACGTGAGCAGCCCCTTGGCCAACCAGGTACACTCGATGACGCTGTGCGCCATGCAAGTCGTTCGAGGCCGCCGCGCGAATGGCTCCGGTCACGGCGCGGTCCATGGCGTGGCGCTGTGCTCGCCGACATACTAGAGCGTGGTACTTGCCGCTCGGCTGCGCGTGGTGCCACCCTGGGGCTGCCACAGAGGCACTCGAAGCTGTGCAACCACTGGGAATCGCCGCTCCGACGCCCAAGCGTTCGACGACACAGCCAATTCCCGCGAGCAGAGCACCTCCGGAGTCACCCATGGGTACGAAGTGTCCACCGCCGCCACCTAGGCTCCAGGCGTCGCGCTCCACGAGCAGCTCAGCGCGAGGGGCTGCCTCTCGGAGGACGAGCGCTGGCGCCGAGTCGAGTGCAACATCAGCTCAGTTCGAATCGACCAATGGGAAGCTCGCATTCGCGCGCGCGCGGCGACGCCATGGCCTCGATTCCGAGCCGGCCACCTCGGCGCATGACCCCAGCAGCCCCCACGGACTACCCTAGGAGTCCGCCGGCCGAATCCGCGGGATTGGCGCGTCGCGGAAGGCGACCCCCGGACGCGGGTGCCGGCCCTCCTGTGCCAGTGGGCAGCAAAGACTACTGCGGGTAGCTCCTAGGTCCAAAAGCACGCGTTAAAAGCGCGGTATTCAATAAGTTAACGCTATAATAAACGTGGCCCAGGAACCCGCGTAATTTACGTAAATAGCGCGATTTTTTTTTTTGATTTTCGGACTAAATCACTACGGGGCCCGGGGACGCCGTCGGCGAGGCGGCATGCGCAAGAGAACCCAGGCCAAAAGTCCTGAAGTCCGCCTTGTCGGGTGCTCGCCGGGTTGTTGGCGACGAAGAACACACGTAAATAACGCCGTCACGTAATTTTGGACCTAGGATAGCTCCGTCATAGCCCAAGCTACTAGTGGTCTCTACGGACTCGCCTTCGGACTGTTGGCGCAGGCGCCGGCCCGGGAACTTGCTACCCAGAAGATGAGATCAAGGTGACGTTGCAGGCGGATCCAGAGGCGTTGCTAGCTACCCGCCGCTTTCCTGCATGGGGTTCTGCGTAGGGTTAATGTCTTGGTGCGCCCCATCCCCTTCCATGTCTACCGCGGCCACGACCCCGCCCTCGCATGGCGTGCGAGCGCTGGCCCGCCATCGCAATGTCAGAAGGCGCTTCATGAGGTTGAGACGCAAATTTCGGCGGCAATGAAGGCCTTAAACGCGGCGTTGGCGCAGAAATAGAAAGAGCACGTTCCGCGACAGTTTTTGGACCACCTCCGCTAAAGTTCCAGTTTCCGTTGGGTTGAGACGCGAATTCCGGCGGTGGCGACGGAAGTCCTTTGCGATGGCGAAGCGCGGCCTCAGAAGGCACCTGCGTCACATTTTTCGCATGTTTNTTCGGGATTTGCTCGGAAGCCGCTTCTCGTTTAGACTCGTACTGATCCGTTCGACGCCGTCCGTTCGAGCCGGACCACGTCGTCAAGGCGGATTTCACCCAGGACGGTGCGACGTTCGATCCGAGGCTGCGGCGCGGGGTCGTCGTGGGTGGCCGGCGTTGCGGTGCGACAGACCACAGGGCCGAACGCGGAGCCGGCGGCCGGGACACGAGCTCTCTCCGACGCGCTGCAAAGCCGTGGAATGTCGCACCGTGGTACGCACGGCCAAGAGCACCGATTCGGCCCTTACCGAGGGTCTCGAGGATCGCCGCCTGGTAGGTGTGCGCGGCGGAGACGTCAGACCAGGCCGGTGGCGCCGCGTCCACCGTCGCCTCGAGGCGCGTACCGCTGCTCGTGGTCCGAAGCATGTCGCGGAGCGCATCGATGTGCCGCGCGTCGAGCCGGCGAAAGCAGCGCTCCAGTGCGGTACCCTCGAGCGGTGCGCACAGCGCGTCGCCGCAGAGGCGCGCGACGTCGTCGAGGCCGCACCACGATGCCGGGACCTGCGATGGCGGCGGCGCTGGTCCCGCGGCGTCCAGCGGCGGCAATCGCTCTGCTGGGAAGCCACCAAGCGACTCGAGCTCGTAGCGCCGCCGGCCGAAGGTCGCCGCCCGGCCGAAGTCGCTCGCGGCGTCGTCAAAGGTAGCCCAGCCCGCCGGGACCTCGCGCAGGAATCCCACGAGGCTGGGCAGGGTGAGCATCCCCGCGTCAATCCCGAAGCGCTCGACGTCCGCGACGACGCGGTCGGGCACGTCGCATGCCGAGGTGTATGCGTCACCGACAAGCGCAGCGAGGTCGACAACACGCAACTCGTCCGGGATGCCAAGCGTCTCCGCGAGGCCGCGCCGCGTCCACACGCTGACGCGCCTACCTTCGCTGAGCTGGTCGAGCGCCAATCTGAGGAAAGCGTATCGTGCGTCCCGGAAGAGCACGAAGTCGCCGTCCTCGCCGCCGAGGACGAGGACGTCGTCGCGGCCGCACG